TAGAATAGAATAGAATAGAATAGAATAGAATAGAATAGAATAGAATACTTTATTGGCCAAGTGTGATTGGACACACAAGGAATTTGTCTTGGTGTAAAATACTCTCAGTATACATAAAGGAAAAGATACATTCGTTAAGAATCAAGAATCATAACATACAACATTTAATGATAGTCATAGGGTACAATCAACAATCAAATCATACTAGGAAACAGTCAATATAAATCGTACGGATACAAGTAACGAAGTTACAGTCCTACAATCACAAGTGGGAGGGGATGGGTGATAAGGAGTGATGAGAAGATTAACGGTAATAGTAGTGTACACTTTGTAAATAGTGGAACAGTGTTGAGGGAATTATTTGTTTAGCAGAGTGATGGCTTTCGGGAAGAAACTGTTCTTGTGTCCAGTTGTTCTGGTGTGCAGTCCTCTATAGCGTTGTATGCAAAATGCAAAATGTGGGAAAAAGGGGAAAAAGGGGGAAAGGAGTTAAAAGTTTGAAATCAAAGGGAACAGTCAAAAAGAAAAATAGTCTGAAAAAGAAGTATAACAGCAAGGAGAAGCAAAAAAGAAAACTACAGAAGGGAAAATTAGAGAGAGAAGGGTATAAAAAAGGGATGAGAAAAGGGGAAAGATAGAAAGGGAAAGAATTTATGAGGGACAAAAACAGGAAATAAAGAAAAGGGGGAAACGTACTAGGATTAAAGGTATTTGCTCAGCTAGAAAACGCAGAGACAGTGGTTAAATTAAGTTAAAAGTGAGGATTCTGCAAAGGTACAAAAGATAGTGTTGTGACAGTAGAATACTGTAATGAGTTAGAAATGAAATAAATAAATAATCTATAAAACTATAATCTATAAAACTGTATTGTTATGTAATGGTATGTTTATTTATAATTAATGCAATAATAAAGAAGAGAGGGAAACATTGCAATTGTTTCTAAAGATTGATAAAATATTGAAAAGAAATGTGAAAGATTTATAAGGAAATTTATATCCGTTATTAGAATGAATTTGAATAATTATTTTGCTTATTAATAGTAAATAATTTATAAGATAAAACTGTATGACTATCCAATGGTGGGCTTATTAACAGTTAAGTAATAATGAAGAAGGGAGGGAAACATTTCAATTGTTCTCAAAGATTGATAGATATTGAAAAGAAACATGAAAGATTTACAAGGTTCATACCAGTACTAGAATGATTTTGAATAACTATTTTGTTTACTAATGTTTATATATATATATTGTTTTTGCTATGTTTTTAGAATTTTTCTTTTTACATTTTCAAGGGAAAGTACCAAGCAGAGTCTGAATGATGCAATTTACATGATATAAAATAGATATCAGAAATTTGAATGTTATAATTTTAGAATGCACAAATTCAATGTTTAATGAGATTTCATATGATAATAACAATAAGATTTAAACGTGTTGCCCTTCGATTGGCAATCATAGGGGGAATTTTGCTTGTTAAGAATGTTGGAAGAGAACATAAGAAATTGTAAACAAGACAGACGAAAGTATATGTACAATGAATAAAAACATATAGAAATGTAGGTAAAAGAAATACAATTGAATAAGAAGAAAATGAGATAACCATAAAAGAAAATTAAGAGAAGTAAAGGGAGAAATAGTGAGAAGTTGGAAAAAGAATAATAGGATATGAAGTTGAACACATAAGATGAATATGTATATGAAATTGTGTCTGTATGGAAATGTGATAACCCGGAACCCTGCTGTACTCAGATAAGATGTTATATTTGTTTTGTTAAAACTCAATTAAACTTTATTAAAAAATAATAATAATGTATAGTCACAAAATAAGAAACATATATATACAATGACACAATAACTGTTAATGGAAAAGAGATTTTAGTATTTTTTGTTTTTAAAGAATAATATATTTTTTTTAAAAAAAGAATAGAATGGAATAGAATTCTTTATTGGCCGTGTGATTGGACACACAAGGAATTTGTCTTGGTGCAAATGCTCTCAGTGTACATAAAAGAAAAGATATATTCGTCAGGAGTCAAGAATCATAAGATACAATGGTTAATAATAGTCACAGGGTACAATAAGCAATCAAATCATACTAGGAAACAGTACATATAAATCGTAAGGATACAAGTGACAAAGTTACAGTCCTACAGTCAACAAGTGGGAGGGGATGGGTGATAAGGAGTGATGAGAAGATTAATAGTAATAGTAAAGCAGACTTTGTAAATAGCTGGACAGTGTTGACAAGGGGTGAGGTCAGGTCCAACAACTCCCACTGGCACAAGTTCTTTGCTTGGCAGCTGTTTACTTGGAGAGCAGCCTCCTTAGGGCTGGAAAAGCATAATTGGCTTCAAAACAGAGGCAGTCAACCTCAGAAATCAGCTACTGGACTTACATCAGTTTGTGTTCTTGAAGCCAAAAGTTTAAAGGTTCAGGATTCCACGTGCTGATAAAACCAGGCAGGATGGATTTTAAAGTGACCACCTTTATTGTGCCTCCAGAAAAGAGATTTTCTTAATTTTGGACAGGGGACCTTACTCCTGTGTAAGAATGCTTTGAACTGAGATAGAATTGCACAGGAAATAAACTCCTTGTGAAATCCGGCACGGACATTAGAAGCAAATCTTACTCACTAGAATTTACACTTAGGTAAAGGTGTAACACTGCATACTAAAGAAATTGTCAGTTTGGAAGCCATTTTTCTTTGAGGCTTCTGAGCTCCCACATTCAGTGCCTGGAAATTTGGGAAGGGGACTTCAAGGAGAGGTGAAAAATTCTCAGAGAGACGGGTTGGATTTTGGATTCTATTTGGGCTAAGAAAAACCCGGAAATCTCAGATTTGGGTTTTCCTCAGATGTGCCAATACGCATCTCTAATAAAATGGATCTTTGAGAAGATGACAACCTCAGAGTCTTAATTTGGAGGTTGTTACTTGGAACGCTGACAGAAAAATGCAAATGCACACCTGTGTGCCAAAACTGATCTGTTGCTTTGTTGCAACTTCTGCCAGGACTGAGTAAATATACACTTTTGGAATTACAGTATATTACTGGCCTAGTATCAACAAAATACAGATAATCCTCAACTTACAACCACAATTGAGTCCAAAATTTCTGTTGCTAAGCAAGACAGGTGTTAAGTGAGTTTTGTCCCATTTTATGACTTTTCCTTGCCACAGTTGTCAAGTGAATCACTGCAATTGTTACGTTAGTAACACAGTTAAGTGAATCTGGCTTCCCCATTGATTTTGCTTGTCAGAAGGTCGCAAAAGGGCTTTACATGATATTGGGACACTGCAACCATCATAAATGTGAATTAATTGCCAAGCATCTGAATTTTGATCATGTGACCATGGGGGATCCTGCAACGGTCATAAGGGTGAAAAACAGTCATAAATCCTTTTTTCAGTCCTGTTGTAACTTTGAATAGTCATTAAATGAACTGTCGTAAATTGAGGATTACAAAGTAAAAAAAGTGAATCCACAGCAGAAACAAAAGGTTAGACAAAGCCATGGGTGAAAAAAAAAGTTGAGAAACATTGGAATAGAATGCCAGGGGTCTCCAACCTTGGCTTTGCTGGCTGGGGAATTCTGGGAATTGAAGTCCATGAGTCTTAAAGTTGCCAAGGTTGGGGACCTTTGGAATAGACCATCTGGTCCAAAAAGTTTGAAAACCTTCATCTGAATTTTGCCATGAGAAACACCCAAGGAAGAGCATACCACAAGGAGTCACAGATACACCTAAGAATTAATTGGTGTATAATAATCCTGACATGTATTTTCATTAAGGCACTTTCAACAACCACTAACTTCACCGCAAACCCTCAGAGATATTTTTATATTTTCCGTTTATGTCTTCATCACTATCTTTGCAAGGTTCAATTGTCTGCAGGGGTGGAAAACAGTGCTCAATGGAATTATATCTACATGGAGGGGAGTATGCAATGGGGTACCCCAAAGCTCTGTTTTAGGCCCAGTACTCCTCAATGTCTTCACCAGTGACTTGGATGAGGGGATAGATGGGGAACTCATCAAATTTGCAAACAGCACCAAACTAGCAGGAATAACCAACACTCCAGATGACAGGCTTAAGATACAGAATGATCTTGACAGGCTTGGACATTGGGCATTTGCTAACAAAATGAAATTCAATGATGAAAAAAATGTCTACATCTAGGCAAGAAAAACAAAATGCACAGGTACAGCATACGCGCTACCTTGCTCAACAGTAGTAACTGTGAGAGGGATCTTGCGAGTCCTAGTGGACGACCATTTAAATACGAGCCAGCAGTGTGCAGCAGCTGCCAAAAAAGCCAACAGTCCTATGCTGCATAAATAGAGGGATAGAATCAAGTTCACATGAAGTGTTAATTCCACTTCATAATGCCTGGGCGTTGTCTCCGAAGAAGTGAGGCTCCCGTCAGCAAGGAGCAGCAGTGTGTCCTACTCCCCGCAAGCCACTAGGACCACTTCTTGCCTGCCAACCACTGGCGGATCATGGAGGAGGAACCGGCTTCCTTGCTCAAGCCCAGCTGCCCGTAGCTGTCCCCAACAGAAGAGCATGGCATGATTGGATCCTTGGTCTCTGGCTCCTTCACCCCAGGATTTCTCCCAGCGCTGAGTTCGATCTTCCTTCCCACTGGGTATCACCATGAGGCAGCTCAGCTTTGATGGAGAGGCAGCCCCTGGTCCTTTGTGAAGCTGCCATACACCTGAAAACCCAGGCTGGCAAATGTCCCCAAATCCCTTTCTTTGCCACTCAGATATATGGATGACATATGTCTGCTCTTTCACTACTAAATCAGAGATGAGAAGGCCACACACACACACACACACACACACACACATTGTATTTAGCAACAACAACCTGAGGTAAGGCTTCTTTCTTTGGGGTTCAATTTTTTTATTACTTTATCAAACTATAAAATACAGAAATACACAGAAAAATGAAAACAGTGGGAAAATGAGGGTGGGGAGAGGAAAAGAAAAAATGTGTAGGGGAAAGGGGAAAAGAAATAGAAAAGGCATTGGCGTCCGACTGGTGCAGTAGCATAAGATAATAACATATAACCTCAACTGTTTGCTTTTACATCATTAAAAAGAACATATTAACTCAATCTAATTAACGTGGTTAATTAGATAAAACAGCATATTTTCAAAGTACTACAGGATCACTTTATTGCTTAATGAAGCAAGAAAATCGCTGAACAGTCATCTAACCAAAATCCCTTGTGACAATCTTGTTCTGCCATCTGAGGTCAAAAGAAGGCTACCGCTTCCAAGGTAGCATCTTATTCAAGTTCCTGTTTCAGACTATGGGCACAAATCTGCCAAAGCCACGATTGTGGCTGATCGCTTGAAGAAGCTTCTCTTTCAGTTTTTGTTTTGTTGAGTAAATTGGCAGAAATAAAAGATGAAAACAGGTGTCAGCCCCAGGGATAAGATCCTCGGAGGGCAAGTAATGTGGATGAATCTTCCAAGGTTCCATTCCTGTCACAGGGATCCTGTCATTTCCTGCCAAAAACACTAGAAATATGGGAAATCATCAGTTAGACACGGAACATTACGGGGACCACAGACAGATCTAAGAACATGAGATTTTTTTTGACTATAGGATAATATTGCCCCCCAAAAGATGGTATTCTGGCATCCAGAGGCCTTACCTGACACAATGCCGGCCAAACTGGAGCTTCTGAGGGGCAGATCCACCCCTCAGAAGCTCCATCCAGAGGTCTCGCCTGGCATGATGCTGGCCAAAATTTATTTTTTATTTCTTTTATTTATTTTGATTTGTCAATTGCTTACAAGATAATAGGTATAAGTATATACATAGTTATGAATACATGAAATTGGGTACATATAAGAAAAATAAAAGAAACAATAGGACAGGAACAGTAGACATGTTGGTGCGCTTATGCACGCCCCCTACAGACCTCTTAGGAAAGGGGTGAGGTCAATAGTAGACAGGTTAAAGTTTTTGAGGTTTGTGGAAGAAACCACAGAGTAAGGTAGAGTATTCCAGGCATTGACCACTCTGTTGCTGAAGTCGTATTTCCTGCAATCAAGTTTGGTGTTGAGCTTGTATCTGTTGTGTGCTCTTGTGTTGTTATGGTTGAAGCTGAAGTATTCATTGACAGGTAAGTCATTGCAATGTATGATTTTATATACCATACTAAGATCAGTCCAAAGACGGTGTAATTCAAGGTTTTCTAGGTCTAGAATTTCAAGTCTGGTGGCATAAGGTATTCTACAATGAGTAGAGGAGTGGAGAACTCTTCTTGTGAAATATTTCTGGACTTTCTCAACTGTGCTAATATCAGATATGTAATGTGGGTTCCAGACTGAAGAGCTGTATTCGAGTATTGGTCTAGGAAATGTTCTGTATGGTCTAGTCATTAGTGTAATATTACTAGAGAAAAAGCTACATAGGATTGGAATAACAACTCTTAATGCCTTTTTGGCTATGTAGTTACAGTGGGCTCTAGATCATTGGAGATGAATATTCCAAGGTCCTTTACAGAGCTTGGATCATCAACAAGGTCTTGACTATTCAGCTTGTATTTTATTTTCTGATTTTTTTGCCAATATGTAGGACAGAGCATTTATTTGTTGAGATTTGAAGTTGCCATTTGTTTGACCATTCTGATACATAGTCAAGATCTTTTTGAAGGGTAGCAGTATTGTCTGTGGTATTGAACAGCTTTACATCATCAGCAAAGAGAAGAGAAGGGATGCTTTGGGTGGTCTTAGGCAGATGGCCTGTTCCATCACTAGCCCCCTCCCATGGCCTTCCCCACCCTGAAATACCTCCTGTGTGTTTAATGAGCTTTGCATTGGATTAAGAAATGCATGGGTGAAAGGAAGGAGTGATCCCGTTCAAGGTACAAGATTCAATCCTAAAAATCCTTAGGTTATGAATGGAATGGACAGGTAGCCCCCAACTTAGGATCACAATTGAGCCGAAAATATATGTTGTTAAGTGAGAAATTTGATAAGTAAGTTTTGCGCCATTTTACAACTTTCCTTGCCACATTTGTTGAGTGAATCTCTGCAATTGTTAAATGAGTAACACAGTTGTTAATTGAATCTGGTTTCCCACACCAACTGTGCTTCTCGGGATACTGCGACTGACATAAATATGAAGCCATTGTCAAGCATCCAATTGTAAATCCCATGACCATGGGGATGCTGCAATGATCAGAAGTGTGAAAATTGGTCATGAGTCACTTTGTTCAATGTCATAACTTTGAACCGTGACTAAACAAACTGTTGTAAGTCAAGGACTACCTGTATAGAGTTGCTTTTCAATTATTATTTCAATTCCTTGACTATCTGCATTAAAAGAAGCTTTTGGAGAGATATGAATGACTTCTGCTGACATTCAGAACAGCTCATAACACAGAAGGAAATTCACCTTCAAGATCTTTAGAAAAACAGTGAAGTACTTGCATATAGATATTTACCCAGAAAATGTTTTTTATCCTCCAAACTCAGCTCATGGAAAACTTCCCAGAACATCTTTATAGTTGGGTGCGTTGGGCTGTATATACCCCTATACACAGCATTCTTCAGTGCAAGAATAATAAACAATGGGGGGAAAATCAAGAACCAATAAGAATAAACAATAAGTTATATAATAAACAATAAACTATATAAGACACTCAAAAGTCACTTGAAATGGGCAGCAAAGGAGAAGAAAAGTGAAGAATGTATGGAAGGAAGGAAAGAAGAAGAAAAAGAGAAAGAAAAGAAAAAGAAAAGAGAAAGAAAGAGGCTTTAGTAACTTTATCTGCAGCCATGCTTCAAACTCCTAAATGTCATCCAAGCAATTCTATCATTCACTTATTTGATAAGCTAGGAGAGTTGTGATGGAGAAAAATTAATTTACCAAACCCTACCCATGCCAATTGAAAATGATGCTGTAGCTAATGGCATAGTTCCTTTCCTCCAATCATGATCTGCTCATAAGGGTCCTTCTCATAAAAAACATCTCTCCATCCACTTACCTTTTCGCACAAATTCCAGTCATAATTGGCATTTCCAATTGCCACTTCCATCAGTTGTTCAGGCTCAAAGATGCCAACTAGCTGTTCATCCAGGACTTTGTAAAATCCTCTCCTGAACTCACTGAAAACATCATCCACTGATTTGTTGAATATGTAATCCACGTATTTGTCAACAAAGTCTTTCCTTTAAAAAGTAAAAAATAAGCAGATTTTTTTTTTTCAAGAAGGTCAAATTCTTGGCCTTTAAATAAATTTATCAGGGTTCAGAATCAGATCTCTTTTGGGGAAATTCGGTTAGCATTGCTCATAAATCTAAACTATGTTTACATTTATTTGTTAATGTAATACATGTTTATTATTATTATTGATATTTACAAGAATTAGTTGAGACTGGAGGTCTTTGTACCAAAAGGATCACGGTCACATGACCACAGGGATACCAAGCCACAACTTTGTGTCAGAAGTTCCTGTTGTCCAATGCAATTGGAAATTTTGAACTGTTGTGAGTGAGTGAGTGATCATAACTAATAGACTACCTGTAGTTTAGATCTAAAGAATTTTTTAACAGTCCCACAGAAATTCAAGAAGCTTGGAGATAGCAGTAACTGAAAGTTTAAGAAATTATCCGATTCCTACATGGTGCATTAATATCATCTCCCATTACTTCTAACACCATTGGTCATTGTGGGTGGGGATCACCTGAGCTCTAACAAAGCACCTTTGGAAAGGTCATTTTAAGAGTCATTGACACATACTTATTGGCACTGTTTACAGCTGTTGAAATGCCATTTTCAATCAAGTCTACATCCATGCTGTCCCAGGAAATCTGAAAAATAAAGTAGTTACATGTTAAGTAAAACTGTTAAAGCTAAAGTTAACGTATTAGTATAATTTCTGCACTGAACAGTGCCAAGACTTTCTATTTATGTGGAATAGTTGGCATCAGTAGTTTCAGCCAATGAAACGGTGTGAATAATGCTTTGGCTGGTTCACACATGGTCCAAAGCTGTGGTTTCCCATAACTGTATTTTACTGAATAACTAAGGAGACTCAGACAACAATCAAACTGTATACCAAGGTTGTGAACCATAAAGTCATCTTAATCCACATTCAAATTGATTCCATTCATATAGGATTCCATTCACGTAGCATACCAACCATAAACAAATCATCTTATGACTTAATGTGTGAATGAGATTTCAGCCTTTAGTGGTTCTTCTCTGGAGGGCCCAAGTGTGTCTGCAGGATGTAGTTAAAAAAAAAGTTGAAAAAAACCCCCATTAAAATACATTTAAAAAAACCCAAGCTGGGCTTGGACTAAACCATCATTGATCACCATCTTCTTTTAATGACCTCATAATCTCTTGTGGAATGGAGTCTGGGCAACTGAATGGAGCCAAGTGTTTACTGGCCGGATGCCCTTCCTGTCGCCAATGGTGAGTTTTGTTCAGCAGATACATTCTCAGTGTGCCCAGAGAGAGAGAAATATCTGCCTCTACCTAGGATCGAACTCACAGCCTCCTGATTGTGAGGCAAGAACTCCACCTCTAGGCCACCACATCACTAAACTATCATTGATGCCATCTTGACATTTCTGACCACACCCCAGAAGACCCTCTTCTTCTCAAGACAAGATTCAGAATGATGTCTCTAGCATCCTCCTCCTATTTATTCCAGCTTATTTGTTCAGCCACAACAAGATAAACGTTTCCACCTTTTAATTGATTTTACAAGCTCTGGATTTCTTCCATTTTTAGCCTCTATTCCAGGTTTTTAACTATTCGAGGAGGCATCGTGAAAGAATGCAGGATACTCACAGAGTAACATAGCTGAAACATGTCTTCAAGGTCATCATGTTCATACTCAAGAACTGTCTGCAAATTTCTTGATAACAAAAGGAAATAGAAAATAAAATATTATATGAAGTTCTTTCAGCAGATATTAAAACAGCGCCAATCAAAAATACATGGCTGGAGTGGTTTCATATTTTTATAAGCCTGAGGACATGAACAAGATCTCCAGACTGGTCCATGCAACCATGAATAGACTCAAGCTTGTCTCTTTTGAGTCATCGTATCTAGTGATGGAGCTAGGTTGGCTTGATCCAGAAAGTCAAGTATTTGGTGAGAAGAAACTGAGAAGATATTTGTATGACTGTTCCAGAAAAACCTTTGCATCCAGATCATTTTAAAAAGTAAGGTAGTTTTAAAAACTAAGCTCTCTTCCCAGGCCAAATGGTTTATCCAATTTTAAAGGGGACATGCTTCTGTTGGGATTTGGGTCATACTGGGATTTACTAAACTAGGCTGAGACACCAGTTACATTGGGCAAAAGAGACCAGAGGTGTCAAACTCAAGGCCCATGGGGTGCTTAGATTTGGCCCACAGGGCTGCCCTGGAAATAGCAAAGGACGGCCCACGGTGCCTCTGCCAGTGAAAACGGAGCTCAGGAGGGCCGCGCTCGGGCCACCACAGGCACCCCCTAACACAAGTGATGTCAAGCTGGCCACGCCCACCCTGGCCATGCCCCCTCCCCCTCCCCCCCAAGGTCAATCACAACCCTGATGCGGCCCTCAATGAAATTGGGCTTGACCACCCCCCCACCGTCCTAGTTCAGAAGAAGTGTGTGGTGGCTGCTGTATTTGTAGACTTGTTTTAGAATAAATACGTTTGTCATAAACCTGTGGCTTATTATCCTTGCTTCTGCAGAAAAATTGGGGGAAAAAATCTCTGCTTACAGAGAGTAAAAAGCTGGTTCCGTTGAAGGACATTTAATGAATTACTTCCATGCTAATATAGAGAGATGGGAGTCTAAGGAGGCCCCATAAAGAGAAAAAAGCAGATAGGTCTCAATCTTTCTCTTCACCTAGACTAGAAGATGGACTTCTTGCCTTTTGTTATGTGTAGAGAACACTTTCTCTGTCAGCCATTACAGCTAGGTAACTGGGGATCTTCTACTCCAGGGGTGTCAAACTGGGGTCCTGCGGGCTGGATGCTTTACGTGCAGGCCATGCCCATCCCATCTCCGCGAAGGGAAAAACACCACAAAAAGTCATGTGACAGCAACATGATGCCACGAGTTCTAATCTAGGTTACTACATCATGACCACTCAAATCAAGAGAAGCTGCCTACTGTAAATGGGATGAGGGGAGAAACAACAAATGATTTGCTGATTTCTACACCTTGGCTAAGTCATCTTAACCCACATTCAAATGTTAGGATTCCATTACTTTTGGTACATTCTTTGAAACAGAAACATGGTTTTGTCAGTTGTAGGGGGAGTGCAATGACTGGATAAAATCAGTTAAAACTCATTGTCCCTAATAAGTGGATAGAACATTTACCTTCCTAGCACAGGGCTTAGCTCTTTCACATCACTGAGAGTTGGCTTCTTGTTAAGCAGCTTTTTAAAGATAGCAAGTGGGAAGGGTATGTAGGCAGTGACTCTGCTAGATATTGAAAGCCCATAGAGAATACCAAACAGGAAATATTTATTCTTCTCCACAGAAGGCTACAAGAACGAAACAGCAAGAAAACATCAACACAACAATGAGAAGAAATACAGATTACTTTTGCAGTATTTAAAAGGACATGTTTCTACATTGGGATAAACAGCCTAGTAAAATGAAGAGTGGTATTAGACCACCTAGTTTTCTCACATCATGAGAAAACTTAGTTTCAAACTAGTGCTCTCTATCAATGTGCAAATTGCAGAGTGGCTAAATACTTCCTTTCATTCAGCTTAGGTTTTATAATCCCTAAAGCATCTTTCCCACACTTTAGGATATCAAGAGTATTGGGATTGCAAAAGTATTTGACGTTTCCCAGACTGTTTTTTCAATGAACAAAAGACCAGGTGTAGAACTTCACAAATCAAACTTGCACATATCCCCCCCCCCAAAATTAAGATCCAATATCCCATCTTGGGTTGATGGGGGCAGGGTTGATAGGTATCATCTTGATGAATTGAGTTCATTTGAACTGGAACTGGGTCTGATAAACTTACCTTGGGAGGAAACCACATTGGGGAAGTGGATTCACAATACATAAACATCCCATATTCTGGCTGTACTACCTTCTCAAACACCTCTGAAAAGAATTCCACCAGGTAACCTTGATCTCCATAACCAGGCATTTCATTTTCAAATTGAACCTGCCAAAACAAGTAAAGAAGAAAGGAAAAATAGTTAAAAAATTGAAACGCAAGCATCCTTCTTCAGAGAAAGAAAGCTGAAAAACGTTGAATTCCTTTCGTAAATAGCAAAAAAGCTCTGAATTTGCAGAAGGTCAAAAGGATTTCATATTCTTTGAACTCATTGGCTGATTTTGGACCCATCACTTAGCCAAGCTATTCCACCGCTGTTACCGTGTTTCTCGCAACATAAGGCTGGGCCTTATTTTTTTTTGACCCCCGAAAAAACGGCTAGGCCGTCTCTTTGGGGGTGACTTAATTCCCCCCCTTGCATCCTCAGGTGGGCAGGCGGCAACAGATTGGATGTTGACCTCGGCATTGGTGGGGCACTTCGTATTGGGACACCTTCCATCACCGTTGCTTTCCCATCTCCCTTGCTGCCGTGGCATTTAGAGCAACGCCACAGTGTTTGGCGCAGCCATGCGCAGCCAACCAGGGCTCCTCCCTGCAATCGGAGCCCGGCAGAGACACTCGGCTTCAGGTGCTCCTATTGCCGCCTTCCCTTTGCCTTTGAAGGTAAAGCCAATTATTTTACAAACAACGCCCTACTACAATAAAGCCTCCCCTGCCCGAGAGGGCAGCCCAACCCCAAGTGGGGAGGCAAATATCCTGGGGCCACAGTGCAGAATTAGCCCACCTTGGGAGAAGCGCCCAGCTGCCATCCCTGCCTGGCGCCGGGCAGAGCGCGAAGAGCTTCGCCTGGGGCGCCCAGCACAGCTGACAGGCGGGCCCTCCTTTCCAGCAGCAGATCTCTTACCAAGGCAGCGAGCGCCTCCGCTCATCCCACCAGGGCCGCTCCAGAGCTGTGCGGGCTGGGCAGAGCCAGGAAAGCAAGCCGCAGGTGTGCGCCTGCCTGCCAAGCAAAAGATTGGGGCCGACTTGAGCTTGGCTTCCTTCCCAAGTCCCTCCAGTGCAAACCCAAAGGGGCCACCAGGAGAGGCTGCCCGAGGCAGTGATAGCGCCCACCCATCCACGGACAGGGAGGCAAGGTGATGGCAGCGCTGCTTCCCTGGCCATTGGAGAGAGCCCGAAGCCGCCCGGTCCTTTCCACCCCTCGCCCATCCCATCCCCACGCATCTCCAATTGTGCCGGCAGCTCCAAATGCTGAAGCGGAATGGGCATCAGGCAGAGGCGCTGACTCAGCGGGGCTCAGCTCGGAGGACGTGGCGCAGGCCGTTGCCCTGCCTCCCTGTCCGCGAATGGGTGGGCGCTATCACTGCCTCGGGTGGCCTCTCCCGGTGGCCCCTTTGGGTTAGGGCTGGAAGGACTTGGGAAGGAAGCCAAGCTTGGGTCGGCCCGGCTCTTTCACTTGGCAGGTGGGTGCGCACCTGCAGCTCGCTTTCCCAGCTCTGCCCAGCCCACACAGCTCCGGCGCAATCCTGGTGGGATGAGCAGAGGGCCCAGGAGGGAGGCGCTCACTGCCTTGGTGAGAGCTCTGCCGCCGAGAAGGAGGGCCCGCCTGTCAGCTGTTCTGGGCGCCCCAGGTGAAGTTCTTTGCGCTCTGCCTGGCGCCAGGCAGGGATGGCGGCTGGGAGCTTCTCCCGGGGTGGGCCGATCCTGCACTGCAGCTCCGGGAGATGCGCCTCCCCACGTGGGGTTGGGGTGCCCTCTAGGGCAGGGGAGGCTTTGTTGTAGTAGGGCGTCATTTTTAAAATGATTGGCTTTACCTTCGAAGGCAAAGGGAAGGCGGTGACAGGAGTGCCTGAAGCCAAGTGTCTCCGCCGGGCTCCAGTTGCAGGGAGGAGCCCTGGCTGGTTGCGCATGGCTGCACCAAACGCCGCGGCGTTGCTCTAAATGCTGTGGCAGCAAGGGAGAAGGGAAAGCAATGGTGGCGGAAGGTCTCCCGATACGAAGTGCCCCACCAACGCAGGCAGCACCATATCCGGGTATGCAATAAAAGTACTTCCTAATGGCAAGCCCCCCTCCTCCCACCATTCTCATTTCACATGTTTAATATAGGCCTTAATTTGGGGGGAGGGGCTTAATTTGATTTTATGCTGATAAAACATGCTGGGCCTTCCTATTGGTGGAGGCCGTATTGTTGGGGAAACACGGTAGGTGCAGAAAAATTAGAGCTGACCTTCAACCTGTAAATTGTGTCTAGTTTCTTAGAATTAAGGCAAAATACAGGTAGTCCTTGACTCACAACCATCCATTAAATGACCATTCAAAATGACCATTTTCTACATTGATGACCATTGCAGCATCCCCATAGTCACATGATCAAAATTCAGTTGCTTAGCAACTGGCCTTCATTTATGAGGGTTGCAGTGTCCTGGGGGGTTATGTGATCCCCTTTTTGCGATCTCCTGACAAGCCAAGGGAGAAGCCTAATTCACTTAATAACTGTTACTAACTTAACAATTACAACTGGGGCAAAAAAAGTCATAAAATGAGACAAAAGTTACTTAACAATTTAGCAACAGAAATTGTAGGTTCAGTTGTTATTGCAAGTCAAGGACTATCTGTATAATTGTGATATAAATACATACTGAGTAAAAAAAAAAACTTTAATAGATAAGACTTTTTAAAATGCAGTCCTAATTTTGAAGAGTATGCCAGTGAGTTCTCGGGTTCAAATCTCAGGTAACTCAGCATCAGCACAGATAGCTCACCAGCAGGTATATTTTCAGGTAGGAGTCCTCCAATATACTAAGTTCGTGCCAGGTGTCTTCAAGGAGAAACTGGCGTCGCACTTTCAGAATAAAGGTAGGGCGATCTGAGAAGTCACTATTTCCCAGCCTCTGGTTGTCTCTCCTTTCAAGGTAAGCTTTCCATTCTGCATCCTGGAAAAGTCCAGGGGGAAAAGAGATAAAAACCAATAAACAATGTTCACATTTTAATCATCGAAGAAATGTAAGCAAATCAAAAGAAACCTTCTTTTAAGGCAGTTCTGATGATGGTGTTTATATTGAAGTATTTTGTCCCCAAATAATCCAATAGCAGTCAACCATTTCCTTAAATGCCTATAGAGATTCTCAGTCACCCAGCTCATGGTTCTCCCAAAGGTGATTTTTTTTCCAAGAGGCAACTGGGCTTTTTGGTTTTTCTTTTGAAGACATTTCACTTCTCATCCAAGAAGCTTCTTCAGTTGCCTCTTGAAAAAAGCACTTTTGGGAGAACCATGAGCTGGATGACTGAGAATCTCTATAGGCATTTAACTTTGTACTTTGGGATGAATACCCTTTGAATGGTGCAGGGGTATGAACGGATTTGCAGAAAAACTGTAGACAACAGGAACCGTTTGCACTTCAGTTTGAGATGCAGGCTTCAACAACCCACAAAAAGGATACAAATGACCAGCTTGTCTGCAAGGAGAACAAATCCTTCTGTTTCCCACCATCCAGTCAGAGCTGAAGAAGCTTCTTGGATAAGCAAAACGTCTTCAAAGGAAAAACAAGGAACTCCAGTTGCTTCTTGAAAAAAAGCACCTTTGGGACATTTACTTAAATCTCCATTCTCAAAGTGCTAACAGGGAAAGATGGTAGGGAATGAACTAAAATTAATATGGTTTGGAGCTTCCTTAAATGGTAATCAAATCGAGCCCTTAAGAAACTTTATTTTATTCAAGCCATCTTTACATTGCATCCAGTGTCCAAGACACATTGTACCATGTACAGCTGCTTCTGAGGCCAAAGTACTGTAGGAAAAGCTGCAGGAAAAATGGTTGCATGGAGGCTGCTGCATTATTCATTATTTGCTTGCTTCTTTCTGTTGTTAGGTAATCCTCGACTTAACACTAGTTCATTTAGTGACTGTTCAAAATTATAATGGCACTGAAAAAGTGACTTATGACCATTTTCCTCACTTATGACCATCACACAGTGGTGGGATACAAATTTTTGTACTACTGATTCTGTGGGCGTGGCTTGGTGGGCATGGCAGGGGAAGGATATTGTAAAATCTCCATTGCAGAGGTGCTATTTGCCGGTTCTCCGAACTACTCAAAATTTCCACTACCGGTTCTCCAGAACTGGTCAGAACCTGCTGAATACCACCTCTGGCATCACAGCATCTCCATGGCCACGTGATCAAAATTCAGATGCCTGCCAATTGACTCATATTGATGATGGTTGCAATGTCCAGGGGTCACGTGATCACCTTTTACAACCTTCTGACAAGCAAAGTCAATGACGAAGCCAGATTCACTGAACAACCTTGTTACTAAACAACTGCAGTGATTCCCTTAACAACTGTAGTGATTCACTTAACTATTGTGGCAAGAAAAAGTCAAAATGGGGCAAAAACATCCCTAAACAAATGTCTCACTTAGCAACAGAGATTTTGGGCTCAGTTGTGGTCATATTACTGCTGATTACTGGGGGATGGGAGGTTATTCTATATCATATTTTGAATGCTGAAAACATAAACAAATAATTTGGTGGCCTCATCCATAAGATACAAAGGGGCTCAATGACCAATGTCAATCCTTGGCAACTTTAAGAGGTGTGGACCTCAATTCCCAGGAGTCTCTAGCCAGCACGGATGGTTGGGAAATTCTGAGTACTGAAGTCCACACCTCTTAAAGTTGCCAAGGTTGAAAAACACTGCTCTACAAAAATGGCATGCCAGCCGACGCTCCCCAAAGCGAATTCCAGATCAGTCTTTTCCCAGATCGACACATTTCCACTCCTCTATCCAAAACCCAATTTTGTTCTTTTGCAAACAAGAGAAATCTGACCAACTCTCCAATAAGCAAGACTAGATAGATAGATAGATAGATAGATAGATAGATAGATTATTTACCTGTTGTGCAATAGAGGACCCGTAATAAAGTATTTTCCTTTTGGTTGATACATTGTAGACGAAAGGAAAATGGCAGAAACAGACTAATCTGTCTTCATCTGGGATATTCTGCATGTTGCAAGGGGAAAAAAACAGAAATCTTTTGAAACAAAAGAATATCTCATAAAACCTTCTTCGCTTCCCAACTCCCTTTGCTTCCCAACCTGCATCAATATACTTTTGTGTGTGTGTGTGTGTGTGTGTGTGTGTGTGTGTGTGTGTTCTTTTCTGGTAAGAACTTATGCAACAGCTAAACTACTCAATGTGGAATTCAAATGTTTTCCAATTCGCCTCAAAAATAAAAACAATGAACCATCTCTCTCAAAGCAAAGGTTTATGCTTGGGCACAATTAGATAACTGACTGCTATGAAGGAAGAAACCACACATTCCCTAATTTAGAACTTTTCACAATTCCACAGCAAAACATCCCTTTCACCTCCTAGGCAGGCTAATATGTCAGATAGAGATAGTCCTCGACTTACAACAGTTCATTTAGTGAGTGTTCAAAGCTACAACGGCACTGAAAAAGAGACTTGTGACCATTTTTTACGACCTTTGTAGCATCCCCATGACTGTGTGTTCAACATTCAGATACCTGGCAATTGGTTCATAGTTATGACCTTTGCTGTGTCCCAAGGTCATGTGATCGTCTTTTGCGACCTTTTGATAAGCAAAATCAATGGGGAAGCCAGATTCACTTAACAACCGTGGTACTTACTCATTTAACAATTGGCAAGAAATGCGATGAAATGGGGCAAAACCCACTTAACACATGTCTCATTTAACAACAGAAACTTTGGGCTCAATTGTGCTCATGACTATCTGTACTCAGACAAAAGCCCTGTTCAAGCATTAAGAAAATAAATCTGTGAGTTTTCACACTGCAATAAAAACACAACAGCAGATCCAATCAACGTGAAATCTAAAAACAGATGGAGCCAGGCTAGACTGATCAAAAGAGAGTGCCAGGTAATTGCTTAGATAGGATGGAAAGAAGGAAGAGACACAAGAAGGTTTGATACTGTTTTCTTCATAGAGAGCTTTCTCTTGAAACTCAGGAAATAATACTTATTTCTAGCTCTTGATAATACTTTTTTCTAGCTCTTCCTGTTAGTTTTTCTAAGTGGTTCTAGTTCAGCCTGTAAGGGGAAAGCTGACGACTGGACTGTACACACAATAGCACTTTATTAAGCTACATCCTTTGAAACCATTCCTAGCCTTGCCATGAAGTAACCACAGTTTCTTGCAAAGAGATTATTTGCTCCACACTCCACGCTCCAGAAGAAAAGCTACTTGCATATCCATTGGTTTTCATGTGAAACAAACCAAAAATCTAGCAAAAATTGGAAATGCATAATTCTTGTCTTAATTCAGGCAAATTATGGGATTGGGAGCTGCAGGGAAACAATCTAAAAGTGTTTTCGAAAAGGGGTTTAAACACTGATATTTAATAATACCAGTTTTGTTCAATGAAACGTATATATATATATACATATATATATATATATATATGTGTGTGTGTGTGTGTGTGTGTGTGTTTTCTGAGGTTCTCGCGGGTATTTGTATGTGGATCTTTGGTTATTTGGGTTTTCTCCCGCGTAAGATTGGCAGTATCTAGGCAACGTTTCGATGAAGTCTCATTCATCATCTTCAGGCTTTCTTCGGCTCTGTGCTTCTCAGAGTGATATGAGATTGCAGCTGTTGCTTCCTTTTAACTGCTAGTGGGGGTGTGACTTGATTGGATGGGGGCTTGGCTGTGTTCTGATTGGGTGGGGGTGTGTTCTCATTGGTAGGGGGTTTGGCTGTGTTCTGATTGGTTGGGGGGGTTGGCCGTGTCCTGATTGGCTGGAGGCGTGTTCTGTTCAGGTGGGGGCTTGGTTGTGCTCAGGTTAGTCTTAGTTGCTGGGGGATTTGAGTTGGTGAGCTGTGATCTTACTGTTTGGCTTCGAGTTCGTGGTCGTGCTGCATCTTCATAGTTAAAAGGAAGCAGCAGCTGCAATCTCACATCACTCTGAGAAGCACAGAGCCGAAGAAAGGAGCCTGAAGATGATGAATGAGACTTCATCGAAACGTTGCCTAGATACTGCCAATCTTACGCGGGAGAAAACCCAAATAACCAAAGATCCATATATATATATATATATGCAAGGGCATTTCACCTCTGTCCAAGCTTCATGAGCTCTAATATTTTTCTTCTACATAAGGCCAAGAGACCATGTAAAATGATACTTACATGGTTTTTATGTGACTCCCAAGTCCAAAAATCTTCTTCTAGGTCAATTATTTGAGGAATTTCATCTATGCAGAAGGTACTTATTTGCAATGGGCATTTAGCCTTCATGTTGACCTTGAAAAAAATTATTTATAAATAAAAGCCATGGATTTTATATCAAGAAGTAGGACAAACTCTCCACAATCACTTCCAAGTCACCAGACATACCTTATACAGCTTTTTAAGCACTTTGAGGGTATTAATCCATGACTTGTCTTTGAGGAAAAGGTTATAACAAGGCAACCTGGCTGACACATACGTCTTCAACATTTGAACTATTTGCTCTAAAAATGGACCTGGTAACAAGGACCAATAATTTTCTGAAAGAAAGATACAGTATTTTCAAGTCATTAAAAATGCAGACAGAATCAATCGTATGCTAAGTAAGCCAGACTGAGGAAAATCCTTGAGGCTACAGAAGAGCTAAGCAATATTTTGAGGAGTAGAAAGCCAATCTTAATTGTAGTCCAGATTCCAAGATTAATGTTTATAGGTGAACAATAATCAAGAAACTACAGTGTTACCTCGGTACTTGACTGCTTCAAAACTTGTCAAATTTGGTACTTAACATATTTTGATGTGAAAATGTTGTCCAGTACTCGGTGTTCATTTAGTACTCAACACGCTGTGATAGGAAGAGGGGGATGGCTATGGAGAATGGACAGGAAGTCGACCATGCTGGGAAGGTGGCTGACACAGGAAAAGGGACAGACAGAAAATTATTCCCAGCTGAAACAAAGAGTCACTGGTAAATCCCATGATTTGTTCAGGACTTGTCCTTTCTAGTACTCATCGCACCTTCTTGAACCAATTAACGATGTGTACCGAAGTAACACTGTACACTGAATAAATCCCTTGTGTAGTACTTGGTTTCTGCAGCCTAACATTTATCTAGCCAGACTAAAGCACTGATCTATATAGCTACTAGATACACTTGGTGAATTGCTAGGCAGGGTTCACCTTCACCCTGCTTACCAAAGAATCCAAACTATGTTGTCTCTTTGCTCCGTGTCAAAAAAAGCACCTCCCTCCTGTGACTCTGCACTGTATTCCACCACTGTATTCCTTGTCAGTAACTTGCACCTAAGCCATTTAAGGCTTTAAATAGCATTGTAGGTCACATTTTAGGTCTTCTGAAATTTTCTTGATGCCCTCAAGGGCTGTCCTATAAAGCATGGTTCTGAAAACCACTGAAAACATGGCTTTGTTTCCTGGTCTAGGAATAGGGTAACTGTTGAGTTCTTCTTGTTTATTTCTTTTTATTTTCTGGGGAATGTTTTGAGGTGTCGATTTTCTCATTTCAGATATCCAGGTTTTTTTTTTCATTCTTTTTCTTTCTTTATTTTATAATGGAAGCCATTCAGAGTTGGATGGCTTCAAAACAAGCAAACAATACCAACATTTAAACATTTGACACATTAGAAGGGAACACACTAATTCCGTTATCCTGGAGGGCAAGATAAGAACCAGTGAAATGAATCTATAGGGAAGCTCTACAGATAGAGCCATCAAACAATGGGACTAGATTTCCTCATGAAGAAATAGATTTCCCTTCACTGAAGGGGTTCATACAGACAGAATAGCTATATAGGATTAAATAATCTCTGTGAAACATTCTATGTTTATAGCTCTATTGCTTTTGTTGAGAAAATGTAGAATTCTCTTGAGCTGAGAGACTGAGGAATATAACACATAGGATGTGTGAAAAGAGAAAAGGAGAATTGTCCCAAACTCACCTAGAATGTTGGAAGATCCCTTGCTCAGACCCATGACAGCTTCAGCAAACTTTAAAGCTAGTGACGGTATCCTGCGTGCTTCAAGAGCAACACAGCACTCAGGCACCAGAAGAAAAATAGCAAGAGCTTCTTGGTGAGGAGAATTCCATGGAACAGCAGGAAATAGGTGGTCCAATAGAGAAGAATCGATCTGTTTAAAAAATAGTAGGTATAGCTGGGTACAGATCTATCTAGTTTCAGAAGAAAAGTAGATATGCAAGAAGGAACAATTGTTGTCCTGCCTACTCCTGAATTGCAGCCCATTGTGGTGTAGCACCAGGCTGCACGATCAGACATGACTTTGCCAGGACTGAATGACATACCCGTTAGAATCTGACTCAGAAGGAGAGGAGGAACAGCCAGCAGGGAGTGGGAGTGTGGATCTGGAGGTTGTGAAGGAAACTGGGGAAGGGCACAGGCCGGCTGGGCATTCAGAGGAAGACCCAGGCCATCCCCTCTTCATCCTAGGACATGCAGGAAGGAGTGGATAAGGGAGAAATGTGAATGGCATGGTCTACAGGGGAGGAAAGGGTCCTGATCCCCTTCATGGGCTGCAACTGTGAGAACTGTTTAAAAGGACAAACTGCACATGGCCCAGTGCTGGAAGCAAAGTGTGAAATAATTCTAGTCTTTCAGTTCTTATCTGAGTTTTGGCATCCTTCCCAGAGTGTGTATTTCGATATCTGCAGATATCTTCAAGCCCTTATCCTGCCTTGCCTCCTTAATTGCTTCAGTGTGGTATGTGTTGTTTTTTCTATTTATAATTTATATGTATTTTGAGTTTGAATGGAAGTTCTTCCTTTTTTGCAACTGTTTGTGAGGGAGTTTTTTCTCCAGTCAATTATAATTGGACCTTTGAAGCAAAGTTGAAGGAATTAAAGGGATTTCACTGGTTTTTGTGACTTTGTTGATTTAGTATCCCACCCTGGGTCATCACATTCAATCTGTCTTAAATGAGAAGATATTAAAAGGGCCTGCCAAGAGATATTATTGTCCCATAAGGTTGAGGTTGCATGGATCAGGTAGCAAGCCTACTTTATGTATGTCCTTATGTTCCTTTATGTTTCAACTCATAAAGCTTCGTGTAGTCATCTCCTGCTTGGCTTTCCATAACTTTATTCGGCTGTGTTTTTAATCTTCACGGGGCTGTGGCATTGTTGGAGTAGGGAAAGCGGATGAGCTTCTTAGTGTTATTTGTTGTTTTTACTCTGTAGCACTCTACAGAGTGACATGGGCTATGGAGATAATGGTTATCCGAAGGCATCTAAAGCTGGGGTGGGAAGCCAAGTGCTCTCCCTGTGTTCTAGATTAGAATTTTGGTTTTTGGTTTTTGCTCTTACTGTTAGGACAACCTTCACACAACTGGAA